TCCGAAAGATTGCATAGCAAACGGCTTTTACTAAATAGTAGACCAAATAGTCGATCACTTCGCTGGCRTACTCGTAGGTCGACTGTACCCGAAAAACTATCGGCAATATATAATCTTGAAATACAGTGTCCGCGTCGGCCATCAAGTCGTTAATGTTATCCTCGAATTCTCTTAATATCTGTACAAATCTGTGTCGTTGTTCGCCGCCATTACGCCACCAAAAGTACTGTCTTCTGTATTCAAACAATGCTGACTCTATACACAAATTTCTGCTCGGATGCGCTGTTGTCCAGTGCTCCGCTTGGCCCCAGTAGTCGTTATAAAAGGCACCGATTGTCATATTGTCATTGAATGTAAACAACTGTCTGCTATGATATGAACGAAGAGTCTCTTCGATCATTTGGTTGTCAAAAATAAACTCAAATTCATTGAATGCATCAAACGGTTCTCCCCGATGATACAAATCCAAAAAATAGCCGRCAAAATATCGTTGAAGATCGCAGTTAATTGCATACAGTTTTAGTGTATAGCAAATGGCTAAYGGTGTCGCCAAGTCGTGGATGTTTTGATTGGTAAGCCATTGCTGGTTGACATAAAAATCGCAATGAATTGGTTGTGTTTGTTGTTTAAGAGTACGGTCGACGTCGGCATAGCATTTAGCAGTGAGTCTAACTCCATTGGAATCGGCTCTTCCGATAGTTTCCTCGAATTTCCGTACAAATCGATGACAGCAGACCAGCGAATAGACCACTGGCTGACACTTGATTGGACTGTTCAGTGGATTGCCATCCGGTTGGAGTTGTGTTATCTGTTGGCGACATTTACGGACATATGGGTCGCCAATCCTGTCGATCGAATCGCCAGTTCGTCTATCGAACAATATGTCTGAACCGTCAACCATTCGGCCGAATGCATGGATACAACAATTGGGCAAAAATTCTCTGTACAGATGTCGATGTATCGGTTCYACCTCTTTACGCCAGTTTCGGACATTATTGCGGTCAATAAAGAATGGGGTAATACTTCGATGAAGTTGGGCTAATGTGACACAGAATTGGATGAAATTGTTGGTACAGTTCTCGCCAAACGGTTCGGTATCCGATTGATAGCACAAATCAAATAAAGCAGTTGAGCCGCGAAGTATCATATATGTGGCACCACTGAGTATATGTGCGGCTGGAATACAATTGATATATTGTTGCATAAAATTTGGATTCTTGAGCAACAATTCACTGTAAAATCGTTCTTTGTATGCAATGGCGTCAGCCATCAGCCKAAGTAATGGTAATTCGGGTGTCGGTACATTGTTGGCCACATTTAAACGTGAAATTAATATTTGTAAGACCACTGCATACATATAGAGTTCCGGTTTGTTTGCTTTGTATTTCAAATAGATCTGACTGTGTCTTACAAATAGGAACCGATAGATAGGGTTGTAATGAAAAAAGGAGACCCAATTGCACCATTCACTGCACAGACAACCCTTGTCGCTAAAATAGTCAGTCGGGTGTATTCCCATTTGCAAATCCATATACCGAACCCGTTTTAATTCAAGAGCGGTCGGGTCATCGGGCCAGAAGGCGTCCACACTGTTAGGGTCGACAACATCTCGAAAAAGTAAGGCTTTTGGTCGTATTGCCACCGATCGATGCAGTGGTTTATAGTTTCTATTCTCCCACTGTTCGACCCGAAGCACTAGTGCCCATATCAACGAATGCAAGTGAAAATTGACGGCCCATTCAGCCGAAAAAGATGACTCCGATTGGCACTCGAAGACGATGTTCAATAGGACTATCTCATTGTTATTAAATTTTATCCAATTGAAAAAGCCTTCGGCGTGGATATGCCTAAACTCCAAGTTAAAAGATCCAACATTCATGGTCTGCTGTCCGACCAACACGAGCTCCAAAGTGATAATCAGTACAAAATTGTTGACCCGAAAGTCACGCAATTGATCGTAAGTTAGTGTAAATGTCGTTTGTTTTTGGTTTTGTCGACCGATGCCCGGATCTAAATCCAAGGTCACATCGTCATGAAATTGATTACTAAACTGAATTCTAGCCGACTGTACGTCCGGTCGGTGTCTAAAGTACATCACATCGATAGTCATTTGATATATTTCATTAACCAGTAATGCCTCTACGTTTTGTATCATTTGGTTGGGCATCACTGGTATGGTATATARCTGTAGCATCGCTCGGATATATTCGTCTAGTTTTTGTTGATACAACTGTGGACACAATTGATCGTAACCGACATATGAAGCCATAAATATTTTCAATGATCTCATAAGCGACAGATTTCTGTCGAATGATTGTACGAACTGACTCATAACGTTCATTTGGATCAGTGTTTGATTAGCACAGGTAGGTATACTATTGGTCATACCTGCTGTAACCGGCGGTGTTGGTGGTCGCGACGGTATTGGTGGCGGTGGTGGCGGTAGCTGACCCTGCATTGCCATATTATCTGACGAGGATTAGTTTCTTATAGTTTACTTTATCTGTTTAGTTGTTTGAATTTGTAATTATCTGAAACTGATTGATTGGTTTTTAAGTGAAAAAAATTGAAAATAAATAAATAATTTTTAAAAATAATTTAAATAAAATTTATTCAAAATAATAAGTGCGCGACTAATAAATATATATTTTTTTGCTCTTTACTATACTTTACATTTGGCATTACTTTTGACTTTTTTGACTAATTTTGTTTATGGGTGTGGGGGTGGTATGGGTTGGGTTGATAATTGTGTGGTATGTGTTGATGTGAAAATGTCATAATATAAATAGTTTTAAATAAATAATTTTTTACTCAACTTTACTAAATGGATAAATAATTACTGTTTTTAAAAAAAAAATTGATATTTAATTTACCTGGCGAACTCAAAGTAAATAATTTCATGCATTTAAATGCATAATATAAGTACTTATTACAAGTAAAAGTTTTACCATTATTTAAACTTTAAACAATTAATTAGTCTGTAATATACTTTACCTAATKYACTGTATTATAGTGTACTGTGCTATTTATAAATCAAAACACATTATAAATTACAAACTATATTATTCAAATATTTACATAAATCTTATATAAAAATTTCATAAATRGGCAAATACAGAATATTAAAAAAAATAAATTTTATAAATTTCCTTAAGTATCAGATAACTTAAATCAACCATTTTTTTCAACAACAAAAAAATATTATTAAATATAAAAACCGGACAAAATATTAATATTGCAAATTACAATTAATTTTATAATACTATTGATAAACTTAATGCGAAATATGCAATACAAATAAGTAATAATAAAATAATTAGTTGTAAGTTAATTCCTATATAATTAATTGATTGTAAAAGCCTTATAAACAAAGAGAAACTCTGAACCATTTARTTGCCATTAAATTTAAATAATTTTCTAATAAAATTATTATAAAATGTAACAAAAAGATTATTTATAAATATTTTTATTGTTTTACTGGCGATGATCGCGACTGTTGTTGTGCCAACTCTTTAACTAATTCAATGGTTACCTCYCGGTGCTCGTGACTAATGTTTTGTGATATGAGATTATTTTGAAGAATATAATTGGCGGTAAACTTCTTGAGGTCATTACAGTTGTAATAATGCGCTGAAATAAATATATCATAACAATTGTTGTGATTTATATTTTGTTGCATAAATTGTTGGCACATTTGATGGACACGACTAATGTTGTATCTATCGGCTATCGATAGCAATTCATAAACATTGTCGTCATCGATGGTTAACTTACCATAAAGTGAATAATTGCAGATCTGAGTCAATATTGCAGAAGACATATCCTTTAGTTGTATGACATGACAGTCTAGAGATGAATCGGATGTCTTTTTATACGTGAAGTACTTCTGAAAGTAAGGGCTAATACAGTAAAAGCCTATACGATATACTTTAATYGATGACTCTTTTCCAATCACTAGTAAATCTGGCGCTACATTCATGTGTTTGGGATCTATCAGTGCTTTGGGTAGTCTAGACATTGAACCGGTATCTTAAGGTTGTTTATATTCAAAAACTTGGGCCACTTTTCTCTATTTCACACTTTTGGCCAATAATTTCATTGAATTTTTTTTTTAATTTTACAATAATACTTAAACCTATCGATTGTTGGGAAATTCTAAAAAAAAAAAATTTCAAATATTTATTTCACAAAATATAATTTATAAGTCACTYACAGTAAGTACTCTATAGAAAAATATTTATTTCTATACAGTTTTAAACATAATCTTTAAATACAGTACAAGTGTATTATAATTTGAAACTTTTACTCATATTAGCTCTATTTGCCTATAATTATGAATGTATAGTACCGGTATAGTATTGTACTGTATATCAATTACCAAAACAAACACAATAATTATTTAATCAATAGTATTACCATTAATTCATTGATGACAACACCGGTTGATTGCAATTTTAAATTTTTGCATCCAATGTAAGTAAGTCTATATTATAGACAGCCAGTAGAAAATTATTTGCTCCAAATCCACCCCCGCCCACCCAACCATTTCCTAACCTCACACTCACCCCAAAYTAACCTAACTAATTAATAATTAAGTAATAAAATTAACATTTTATATATGAATAACTGCATAAAACACTTCTAAGCTATTTAACAATACAATGTACTGAATGTATAACATATCAAGATAACACTTTAAGATATTAATCTCCGGATTTTTGTCTGTATGTATGACACCTTTCCCTAACAACAACCATATTTTAATTCAAATCTAAAATGTATTCTTACAACTGTATTGTAAAGTTTATATTAATTATTAAAAAATAWAWATTGTATTAATAATCAAAATATTTTAATATAATATTTTTTTTGACACTTAATTACAATATCTATACAATAAATACTATGTAATAAACTTATTATAAACTTATAAATGGGGGTGGGGGTGGGTTAAGGATAATAAAATAATTTATAAGACAAATGTTTTCTAATTTGTTTGTTTATTGTAACCAAACATCATTTACTACCTGATCAATGGTAAATCTGTCGGATGGATTAAGTTCAGTCATTGCCAGCAATAGTTTGATGGCTTCGGCGCTCAGTGTCGGCGGATTAGATAATAAACAATCGGGTGTATTGAGTAACGAGATTTGATAGACATATGTATCTGGTGTCAACTCAGTCATTCCCTCTACGATATGTTCGTAACCAAACAGACATTGCATAAAAGTCATGCCCAATGAGAAGATATCGCACGGAGGGCTCTCCACTGGATCGGGCATATAATCCATTAATTCCGGTGCCTGATAGAATGGTGAACCTGAATTGCTATCGGTCTCCATGGGCACATTGTCCGCGTAGCTAACGGCCACTCCGAAATCACCTAATTTGTAGGTACTGCTCTGCGGATGCAAAAAAATGTTCAACGGTTTGATATCAAAGTGGACCACCCGTTGGTTGTGTATATACTGTACAGCACTGGCCATACAGTACATCAAATGGCGAGTGTGGYGTTCATCCATGCGTTCATCCGGCTGTTCCTCAAGAAGAGTTTGAACGTCGCCTTTGCACAGTTCCATCAATATTAGGCACCGGGCGTAAGGAAAACCGGTCACTTGATCGGGAATACCGATAATGTCGTAGTACTTCACTATGTATGGATGTTTGAGGTATCGAAGCTGATACATGTCCAGCAAAAGATAATGCATGTCGTATGTTAGTCTATTGTCTGTTGACGAATCCAATCGCAATATCTTAACGGCCAACTCTACTTTTTCGTATCGTTTTTTACTGTCATCCCAATGGCGAGCTTTGACCTCCCAGACCGATCCGAAAGCTCCTTCGCCCAACATTTTTATAAATTTTAATTTATCGTACGCTTCGCCCGATTTCTTCAAATAGTTCAACTGATCTCTATGTAGAGGTCGCGGCACATTCGATGCATTGGGAGTTGGATCCGGTCTCAGATAGTCTTGACCGATATCATCATAGGTTGGCCACAACTGATCCCAATTGGCCGGTCCCTGAATTGGTCGCCACTTCGGAATTTTGATTCGACCTTTTTTACGTTTATATTGTTGAATAGTGTCGTCCCATTCGTACAGATCACTGAACGTATTACCCGCTGCCGTACCAAATGGTGCCTGAAGTACATTCTGGTCAAAGTCATTACTATAGTCAGCTAATCCTTGGTGTACTTTCACGATGTGATCCCGATATTGTGGATCCACGACATGTGGCCAGAACTCGGCTTTCTGTGCTCTTCTATTTAATTTCCGTTGACGACGACGACGACGACGACCACCACCACCACCAGCACTACGATTGGATGCCATTGACGAAGATATTTGGTTTAGATCCGATCAATYGATGATTGAATATTTTTTTCAGTAAAAAATATTTTAAAAATTTCAAACATTATTGAAAATTTTAAAGTTATAGATATTAATAGTTTTAAAATTGATTTTTTTTGTTTGTTTCATTAATTCAATCCCAAAGTAGATATCATAGGATTTTATCAATTTTGTTTGAGTGTATGTTTTAGGAGGAGGACCCTCCCTACACACACACATAACGAAACCCATATTCAGGAGATGAGCCAAAATAATAAATGACTATTTTGTAGACTTTGWGAAAAWAAGGTAATTAAAGATATTTTAAACTAACTAAACCTATCAATGATTTGAATAATTTAATAATAAACTAATTGATAAAAACAAAAATTTCATAATTTTCTTGTTGTTGTTGTTTCTCTCACTACTGTATCCATACGTTTTTTACTACCTGTCACTGTCCTCCTGTTGAATGAACTCAGTTATGGCAACTCATGGCTTYGGCCRTCTGGAGCTCGCGACAAACCCGACGAACTGTAAGTTGGATCCGTTTGCAAATASTCTTGATCATCATCGGTTGAATACAATTGATTCCAATTGGCCGGTCCCTGAATTGGTCGCCATTCYGGTTTTTTGGGTCGACCTTTTTTGCGTTTGTATTGTTGAGTAGTGTCGTCATATTTGTACAGATCACTGAACCTATTGCCCGGTGCCATACCATATGGTATTGGATGTACATTCTCGTCAAAGTCGTCCCTATAGTTAGCCAATCCTTGTTGTTCTTTCATKACGTGATCCCGATATTGTGGATCCACGACATGTGGCCAGAACTCGGCTTTCTGTGCTCTCCTACTTAATTGCCGTTGGCGAGGACGACGACCACCACCACCACTACGATTGGATGCCATTGACGAAGATATTTGGTTCGGACCAATTTCATTATAGGTTGAATTCAATTGATCCCAATTGGCCGGTCCCTGAATTGGTCGCCATTCTGGTTTTTTGGGTCGACCTTTTTTGCGTTTGTATTGTTGAGTAGTGTCGTCATATTKGTACAGATCACYGAACCTATTGCCCGGTGCCATACCATATGGTATTGGATGTACATTCTCGTCAAAGTCGTCCCTATAGTTAGCCAATCCTTGTTGTTCTTTCATTACGTGATCCCGATATTGAGGATCCACGACATGTGGCCAGAACTCGGCTTTTTGTACTCTCCTACTTAATTGCCGTTGACGAGGACGACCACCACCACCACTACGATTGGATGCCATTGACGAAGATATTTGGTTCGGACCAATTTCATTATAGGTTGTCCTCGCCTGAATTGGTCGCAGTTGCGGATTCTTATACTTCAATCCCTGATTCTGTATTTGTGGATCCACTCCACCCGACCAGAAGTCGGATTTTTGTGCCTTTTTGTTCAACTGTCCYCGACGAGGACGAGGAGGACGAATGTCTGTCTTCGATGCTGAGTCTGGAGTCCCATCGATTTCATCATAGTTTGGCCAAATTTGATCCCAATTGGGCGGTCCCTGAATTGGTCGATAATCCGGTATATATGTTCGACCTTTTCTACGAACATATTTTTGTAGTTCGATAGTAAGAAAAATCATTTTATTTTATGCTAACATAGAAGTGTTATTAAATGAATTAAATGCCAAATTAATTGAAACTAATTGTGATATATTAATACTTAATGAAAGTTGGCTAAATGATAGCATACCTAACAAATGTGTAATTAATAATAACTTTATAATTTATAGAAAAGATAGGGACAGCAGAGGTGGCGGCGTTTTAATTGCCGTAAAAACAATATTTAAATCAAAAGAAATAAAAATCAATACAGAATTTGAAATTATTTTTATTATTTTTCACACTTTATAGACCTTCAAATACGAACATATTTTTCAGTAGTTGGATCCCATTTATACAGTTCCAGAAACGTATTGCCCGGCGCAGCACCAAAAGGGATCGGATGTACATTCTTGTCAAAGTCTTCCCTATAGTCAGCCGATCCTTCTTGTGCTTTCATTACGTGCTGTCGATACTGTGGACAGACCTCGTGTTCATAGAACCGGGCATTTTCTGCTCTCCTATTTAACCGACCGCGACGACGACGACGAGGAGGAGGAGATGGACWATTAGTATTGGATGMCATTTTGATGGATGATATTTGCTTTTCAGATTAGATCAGATCGATGGGTMAAATTATTTTGATTGATTTTGGTTTTTTAATTTTTCTTTTAAAATTTAATTCTAARCATTATTGAAATTTTTTTTTAATTTAAAATTTTGTTTTTTGTTTGTTTGTTTCMTTAATTCAAATATACTGTATATCSAGTCTCAAAKTTAATAAGATAGACATTGTTTATTGCAGCGTATGCACCGGGAGGTAAAATGCACCGAAGTAGCTTATAGAGTGTAAAATCAACTTTATATACATAACACCAAATATTGTACATGTATTAAACATTAGTTTAATTAATTTGACTAATTTATTGAAGTTTAAAAAAACTTATTAAATACAGTATATTAATCATAACAAAATAATACAATAATTTAAAATATTTATTAGTTTAAACAACTATTAAATTACTATACGATATAACTATTGGAACTTTTTCAGTAATGACCCGATTGTTGTCCATCATTACTGTCATAACTATCATCTCTATAATTACTRCTATCACTATCGGACAGATCGCTATCATATTTACTGTCATCTGATRCGGTCCCAAATGAGCGATTAGTTGACGGCGGCGGCGGTGCCGCTGATGACCWGTGGCCAAGWCTGACGRATCGACGACCTATCGCTCGTCCGGTCGCTCGATGCATATCTTCGACTTCTCGTCGGTATGGATGGTATCGGCGCTGTTGTCGCTGTTGTCGCCAATAGTTTTGTCGCATAACACGCGGACCAATTGTTGCTCTTTGAAACATATTTTGATGATTATACTGAGCACCAGGCGTTTGTATCGATGTCGGCAAAATGTCGGGAAACGGGTTTATCCGATGGTTACGGTTTCTGTAAAACATTTCGCGCCTCTGTTGGCGAATAGCCTGCAACTGTCGATCCGTTTCATCTAATGGCAGCCTATTAGTGCCATCWAAACTACTGTTGCTGTCGATTGCATTGAAGTTAATATTGTTGTCGTTGTTGTCGTACATATTGTTCATTGATTGTTGATTGTTATTACCAGACCAGCTGAAAGTCACCGATCGCATGGTTCGCACCGTACCGTTCTCTCCATTGGTCGCCGAGATTTCTATATTCTGTACCGAATTGGGACCAACTATACGGTACTGGACATGATTGGGCTGATCGGCTGCTGCGTCAGGCGGCGCCGCTACCAATCGACTATTACCATCGAGCAGTGTTTCAGTGGAGTCRGCACTGCTGGGCCCGGTATTCAACATATCCCTGTCCTGTCTCATAAGGTCAAATATACGCTGGTCATGATCATCCATCATACCAAACATTTGGCCAAACATGAGCGGTGCAAAAACTATTAGACCACCACCASCACCACCAAAGTTCAACTCTCGCTCTCTATTGGGYACTGGTATGGTGTCGTGTTCGGTGGCCATTGTTTTCGTTGTTGTTGTTGCATTGTCTCCTCTAAAGTTATGCCAAATTTCGGTAAACTCTTGGCGACAAACTGGACATCGATTGTGTTCAGTAGACCAATGATGCAAACATTGCAAACAAAATTGATGGTCACATATGTTTGACCGACACCTGTTCTCAATGGTTTCCAAACATATTGAGCACTGATTAGCGTCCGATGAACGAGATTTAGTGTTTTTTGTATCTACCGGTGCATTGGTTTTATTGTTCATTGTGTTACACTATTTTTTTACTACGGATTTGCAAAACAATTGTTTTTTTTWAATTTTAAATTATCCATTGTTTTAATATTTGTTGTTTTAAAATTTAAAAATATATTTATTTAAATAATTTTTATTTACAAAACTATATTTTTATAAGTTTATACATTTAATAAGTAAACAGAAATATTTTATTGTAGTTTTTATGATAGTGTTTTGAGTAGACTTTAATTTAATTAAATTTTTATCAATGCAATTGTGTGATATAATATATATAATGTAAATAAAATTGATTTTTAATATTTTAAAAAATATCTTATAATTTTCTTATTTATGAAAAAATATTAGTAAGCAATTTATTAAAGAAGAAAAAGTCATTTATAATTTTATACATAAATTATTATTTTGTTCGCAAATATTAACACACTTTTAGTATAAATTTTTTTTTAATTAAACTAATTTTTTATCTCTCAAAAAAATTAATTGCTATAAAACTTTTGAATACTATAGTATATATATTTTTAAAATTATGAACTACTAGTTATATACAGATGTCTCTCTCTTTCTCTTTAACTGTTTGTATGCAAACATTATTATTATTACAATTCATGGTTTGTGTGCTTACAGTGATTGCTATGAATTGAATACAAACTACAGTACATATATAAACACTGTTTGTTTTGTTTGACTCATTATTATTGCTATTAATATATCTATTAATATATTATTTATTTAGCAATCGATGGCAAACACAATGAATTGATTATCTCTTTGACAACCAATTCATTTGTCAATATTATTGTTAGAAAAACAATACAGACATTCAAACAGACAGATCGTAACCAATCATTGATTTATTGATTCATCTTTGACTGGACATCAAACTGAAGACATCGCAACAATATTGCCGTATAGGAGAAGTATGGACTTCAAAGAACACTATACGGACAGCAGTTCAAGTGTGGCCAACGCTGTCCGCATACAGGATCTGAAACTGCTTAGGAAATTGATCCGCGACGGCAAGTGTGTCGATGTCATGGATAATAGAGGTTGGCGTCCACTTCATCAGGTGATTGACCACTATAGTGAATACCACCCGACTGTCTGTTTTATTAAACCCTATTTTTTTGTTGTTTTATTAGGCGGCTATCTGTAAGAACGTCAACAGCCATCAATTGGTCGATGAACTGCTCAAACACGAAGACACGGATCCCGATTGGCGGTCACACGAAGGCGAGACAGCGCTACTGTTGGCCTGTCGTCATAATATCGGTCCGGAAGGACTCAAAGTCATCGAAACATTGTTGAAGCATAAGTCAAATCCGAATATTGCCGACAACGAAGAAGAAACACCGCTGTTGGCGGCCACCCGATCGGGACAGTCGGCTGCTGTACAGTTGCTGGTCAAACACGAAAGGGTCGACAAGAATCAAGCCGATTGTGGCGGTTGGTCACCGCTACACGAGTCGGCCACACGTGGAGATCTTGTAATGACACAAACACTCATCACATTTGGCGCCAAATTGGAGTCCAAGGATGAGTGAGTAGTAGATCCTAATCTAAGTTTTTGATTTTTTTATTTTAGTTAATACCGATGCGTTTTTTCGGTGTAAATACAGGTGCGGAATGACACCGATATTCACTGCCGCACAACACGGAAGATTGGATTGTTTGAAAATATTGGTCACCGAAGCCGTTGCTAAACAACAAAAGTATTTGCTGGACGAAGGGGCCAATGATGGCGCTTCTCCGGTCATGATTGCCGCCCAACAAGGATTCACTGACTGTATTGAATTACTACTGAAATCTGGTGCTAATCCTAACAGGTATTTAAAAAATGATTTTTATAATAATCAACGATTTCTATTCATATATTTTTATTTTGGGATTCAGTTACGCAAAAGACGGCGTCAATGCTATTCATTTGGCCGCTGAATGCGGTCATCACAAGACACTGGAACTGTTATTAAAGAAATTAAACACCAAAGATATGGAAAGTCAACTGAAACCCGAATCGCCTGAACTTCGACTCCGAAATCCTTTGCATTTAGCCATCAGTAGTGATCGGCAAAAGTGTCTGAAAGTGATGTTGAAATCGGGTTTCGATATAAACTCTGTGGACTTGTTATTTGAGCAGAAATTTTCGCTGGCAATGCCATCACCCAAATACATAACACCGCTATCGTTGGCCGTTACGCTCAATAACTGGGACGCCGTCCGATTGCTACTGCGGTACGGTGCCGATGTAAACACTGACCATCCAAATGTTTACGCACCCGTTCACTGTGTATTTTCGGTAATAGACAACGAGTTCGAAAGGGGAGCCGACGACAATCTAAACATACTGGAACTGTTGTGCCGACGCGGCGCTCACATTAACTATTGTCGATCGGCTACCGAACCCAATGAACTACTGCACGCCCTGTTTGCGCCGTCATCGCTACAGGTGCTGCTCCGGTACGGTCTGGATTTGCGTAGCTGTTTTAAGGAAGGCTATATCGGCCGCTTTCTCAGTATGTCATTCCATTTGGTAACACTCCACTGGTATCACAATGTACTGCCAGTGGTCAGTCATCTGGTTGAACGCAATGCCATTGTCAGGGACCATATGTCGGCACTGGCGCATCATATAGAGTCCATCTATAAGATGCGTTTCGGTATCGATGAATACAATCCAAGTGTTTGGAAATCCATATTTGATTTGTTTGAAAGACCGCATACTTTAAAAGAGTTAGACTTTTAAAAAAAAATTATTTATAACTATATTAATGCAATATTTTTGTGTTTGTTTTTTACTAAAATCGTAATTATTTTTTTTTTTGGTAACAATAATAATAATAATAGATGTGCCCGTTTTGCTATACGTCGTCAAGTGTACGCCAAGTGTCGGTCCAATGGACAGTTGTTTCCCGAAATGATCGACTCGCTGGATGTGCCGGAAATAATGCACGAATACCTATTGTTTAAGGAGTTCGCTATTAGGCCGGTTCTAGTCTAAAGACAATTGTTTGTAATTTATTATTATTACGGTATTATTAATTATTATTTGTATTAATTGATTATCGTATTATTTATCTCAGTATTTATAGTACAAACCAAATCATTGTATAGTTTTTTTTTGTATATATTTTTGTGAATTTATATAATTGAATTAAAAATTTGTAATTTATATTTATTGTAATACACTATTTATATTTTTTGTTTTGTTTAATAATGAATTAAATGTTAAATTAAATTGTTTTTAAGCAAAATAAAAGTTTATATATATCTAATGTTTTCTAGTTTTTTATAAATAAATAATTTACGGTATTATTATTATATTCAAATTTATATTATTTATTTAATAATTAATTTTATTGTAAATCTGTAAATATATTTTTAATGTTATTTTTAAAAAAATTATTACTTATTATTACAGATAAATAAAATATATAAACTATCGRTATTTTAAATGAATAATTATTGATATAACTTATAGATTAAACTGTTGTTTCCAATCGCTAAGCTTATCCAGTGTGACATCGCAACCGCCGCACACAATAACAACTACCGGTCCATCACTATATTTACCACAACTGTCCGCAAATAGTTTGCTAACTAATCCAGTATAGAGTGCAGCCAAAGAAGCTCCACAAGCCTTGGGATGRAAAAAACAACAACAAAAAAAGGCGTTACAAAAAACTTATGTCAAAAAAAGGTGACGACTTGTGTCATAAATACCGGTTCGACGAGAAAYCGGTGTTCATTAGCGAACCGAATGCACGCATCGACAGCTTGTTTATCGTTGACCAGATGTGACAACACAGGTGGTTGACTTTTTCGGTAATCGTCGGCCAATTGATCGCAAATAATCAGTGAACCCAAACACGTGGCCACACTGGTTATGGCCGGTAAACGAACGGGCTGACCGCCGGCCAGTACAGCGGCGTTCAACGAATTAGCGCCGTCGGTCTCCATTGCCAGCACCGGTACTGATGTCCAATTGTGACGACGCATACCTTCGATGATACCGCACAGTAGACCACCGCCGCCACAACAAGTGACTATCATTGACGGAATAATAGTATCCAAGTCTTGGACAATCTCATCGATCATTGTTGAATGACCTGTCCTATTGGCAAAATGGTTAGAGATTTACGAATAATTGTTTTGGTTTTTTAWAAATAAAAATAAAATATACCACAAAATCGGATTATCAAAGGGATGGACATAAAAACTTTTCGGTGAATTCTTGACCAATTCGAGAGCCTTTTCGTTGGCATCGTTCCAGAAATTGCCAAACACTTCGACATCTGCTCCTTCTTTGGCAATCTTATCGATGATCCGTTGAGTAGTAAGTTTGGGCACAATTATGTGACACTTTAGGCCTAATAGACGAGCAGAACAGGCAGCTGCCAGACCTGCGTTACCGCCCGACGAACTTATCACTTCTTCACGGTTCTCGCGGACAGCCTATCAAAAGTGATAGTAAATCATATTTTTTTAAAAAACACATAAATTTATCAATAAAATTATATTATTTAATTAGTGACAAAACCTGTTGACAAAATCGACTGATTCCTCGCATTTTGAAACTGCCCGACGGCTGACAGTTCTCTAATTTTAGGTATACCCTCCTATTGGGACAGTACTGAGCCAACTCTAGACTCTCGATCAATGGTGTCCTAACAAATAGATCCTTTTCCGATGATTTGGACATTTTGTTCAATCAATTGATTTTTAAAAATTGTGGCTATTTGTGATTGAATAATAAAAAATTTATTCAAATAACACAATAATTGTTAATTATAAAAAACTTAGTATTAAAAAAACTAAATAAGTATTGTTATATATTGTATAGTGAATATGTTTCATTAAAAATATTTGAATTATATACAACTATCTAATATATATATATCAAATTAAATATATAAATTTTAGTATAAAATTTTAGCTCAATTTTTTTTAATACTATAAAACATATTCAATGTATATGTAATGTACTGTATAAACATTATACATATTAATATTGTTTATAATTTTATTCAACAATTATCAGTAAATATTAAGTGTGAAGAAAGTGTATAAAGTAATGGGGAGAGTAGTGTTGCCATTTGGGATAGTATTCAGTTATACAGGTAATCGACTCATTAGTTTTTATTTAAATATCTCATCTAACCATACATTCAATTTAAAAATGACCATGGGCATAATTTTAGATAATATTAAACAGCTCAATATTATTCCAATAGATTATTTTTTAATTAATAGTAAAATTAACTAGATACTAATAGTTTCACTAGACAACTACACTATGTCGATGCTATTATCTAGTTAATTTTACTATTAATTTTTAAAAAATGATCAATTACAATAATGTTGAGTTTAATATTATCTATAATTATGATCTTGGTAATTTTTAATTAATRGTCAGATSAGATATTTAATAAAAACTAATGAGTCGATTACCTGTATAACTGAATACTATCCCAAACGGCAACACTACTCTCCCCATTACTTTATACATTGAGTGTGAAATAAGTGTGAAATTATTTTTTAAACTGACACTATTTTATAGTATCACATGTTTAAAAATCATTGATTAAACATATTTAATATTATCTTATCAAATTTTTAAGGTCATAATTGCATAATTTAAAATTAGTTTAACGATATTATTAGTGTTAATAATTTTAGTATAAATTAAATTAAGTTTTTAAAAAATAAATAAATGTGTAATATTTTTATTGGTTTTTTTACACATACTGTAAATATGTAAAGTATATTATAAAGATTTGAACAAAACAAAAAAAAATAATAAAATCGATAACTATTTGTATGTCAATAGAAAGTTTCGTTAAAAGATAATGTTTTGTATGAAAATAATTTAGTAGGAAATCATCAAACATTTAGATTAAATCAAAAACTATATAATCAAATAAAATGTTAAAAATAAGTAAACAACAAAAAAAATGATAATATAAATTAATTGCACAAAACAAACATCAAAATGCAATCACTATTAATGATACGGCAGTCATGATTGCCATCAATAGCTGAAGTCCAGGACGGCTGCCGTTGTTATTTACGCACTGTTGGATCCGTTTGATATCTAATGGATCGCCATTCAGACACGGCAAATGTTTTTTGCATATTGGATCAGTTACCGGATTGGTATTGTATTTCAGACATTGGTCGGGATATTTGAATCCATTTAAAGCACAATAAGCTACATTTTGAAGACTAGTCCAAATATTTTTCTCATTTTGTTCGGCTATATCTTTGACACTTTTCAAAAGTTCTGGACATTCATTGATCTTATTTTGGGGATTAAATCAATACAGATATTATTAAATCAATCGTTTAGTCTTAGAGTTGTCAAGTATTGATGAAAATAATATTTTTATTTTTGTTTTTTTTTTCAAAAATTTTCTTACCAACGATGTCTTACCAAAACACGAGATCTCCAAAAAACTACAACAAATTCGATACGRTTCTGGTTGTGGAACTAGTTSTGGAAGTTGTTCATCCATTACTAATCCCCATTTATTAGCAATACATTTGTCTASAGTTTCATACAGTTTCTTACAATCATCTGCTGATCGGCGAACCAATTGATGGCGACTGCTGTTAGTAGTGTTGCCATTGTTGGCGACCGATATCAGCGAAGACGACGACACGTCAGACCAGATGGTGCACTGCACGGACATCAACATCATTATCAACAACAACAGTGACGACGATGACCACACTGTAACCATAATTATCGGACAAATGGTATCAAACTAAACAAACAAAAGTCAAAAGTATAATAATTCAAACACAGAATGAATTACAGAATTGAATTTCAAATCTAACGTGAAATCCAATCAAAATTATTATTATTAGTATTTTTTTTGGTTAATCGGAAGTTTAAAGCCCAGTGATAAAACAGTGTTTTTTCAACGGAAAATACTTGTTTTGGTCCTAAATAACATATTCCGATAAAAATAAAAGTGCGGAAACACCTAAAACATACTCAAAACTGACCTAACATACCTGACCTGACATACATAGCATAACATTACAGTAATCTAACTAATTGTTATTGTAAGCGCGAGAATATTACTATTGATAAAACTTAATAATAATACATTATTTTTAGAACTAAGCGCGAGATTAATATTTTTAATATTAATTATTCGATAGAATAATTTTTTTTTTAAAACCCCAGTATTATATAGATTAGGTTAAGTTACATTTGTGTAATACCATTATAATTAGGTTAAGGTTGCTGATCGAACACCAGGTTAGGTAACGGAGCGAACACTAATACATTAGGTTAGGTTATGTTAACATTTGTGTAATACCATTATAATTAGGTTAAGGTTGCGGATCGAACACCAGGTTAGGTAACGGAGCGAACACTAATACATTAGGTTAGGTTTAGTTAACATTTGTGTAATACCATTATAATTAGGTTAAGGTTGCGGATCAAACACCAGGTTAGGTAACGCGACAAACACTGATTCGGTAACCCCATACTGTATAGATTAGGTTAACATTGAAATTTAGAAGGTTGAGAACGAACAACATGTTAGCTATTTATTATATAATTATATTATGAAAATGTTTTTATAATTATTTTATAATTGTTAATAATTATAATTTTTATTCTCGTGCTTTAATGCATGATTAATAATTTCTATATATTAAAGTTTGTTTTTTACACTATGTTTATGTATGTGGGGTCAGTTATGTTATGTTAGATTTGAGTAGGTTTTAGGTGTTTCCGCACTTTTATTTTTATCACTTAATGTTTTTTAGGACCAAAAAAAGTATTTTCCGTTGAAAAAACACTGTTTTATCACTGGGCTTTATACTTCCGATCGGCCTTTTTTTTACATTTTTAAACTTTAAATCCTAGTTTACAGTATAGTATAGACAACCATTAATAAACAGTAATATACATACAGTACTGTAAGTTAAATGACTGCATACATATATTATAGTTTATAAATTTGCATTTTATAAGTTATTTATATTTTTATGGATTAATTTTAATTTTAAAAAAAAACTTTATCTAATCTAAAAAAGACATTACTTTAAGTCTAAGGCTCATCTCCTGAATATGGGTTTCGTTTTTATAGTTCAATAATTATTATTAGTAAACAATTTAAGTCTAATAACTAAAAGATTTAACTAAATATATATATATAAAGTATAATTAATTTTACTATAAATAATTCGTGTCTTTGTAATTTAAATGACAAATATTTATTGTAAATTGTTTGTATATTTTAGTAGTTTATAYTCTATAGTAATCTAAAATAGTAAATTAGTGTTTATATTAATAMAGGTATATAACTAAATGTCATTTAATTTATTTCAATAAATTTATTTGTCTTAAAAAGCATAGTTACAGTATTCATAATAAACAAACAATAGATAACATTGATGTTATAAATATTGTATTAAATATGTAAAAAAATAAATAAAAATTTCTATAAATAATTGCAAACTTATTATCAAAAATATTATGTCCAACAAAATTCTGAGCCAAAGTATTTTTTATTAGGCAATCAATTATTTGATAATCAATATAATAACCGATAGACTGTATGCCATAATCACTATTAATTGGTGTACTCTTGTGGCGGCACTGACTGACGGAAGACACGGAATATATCGCTGGCAAAGACTGTAATCGGTTAGCGGTTTGGGTTGAAGTGCGGCACACATATGTTGATTGGTTAGACCCAAAACATCACATTTAATCAAACCGGTCAGTGACTTATTTTTATGTAATTCAAAATCGTCCCGATATTCAGGACAGTCGACCATCTGTTTTCGGAAATAGGATAATAAAAAATTAATGAAATTAATTTTTATATATTTTAATTGACTGAACATAATATGATATAATATGATACTTTATATGCAAATAAAAATCAATGATTTTTTCAATGTTTTACCACAGAATCACAAACACAATGAGTTTCCAGTGTATAACAGCACAGGTGTTTGATTACGGTTTCATTTTTAAACATATCGATAGGCATCGGATCCGGTAAATGCCATCGATAGAGAAGACATGASACAAATGTATCGGCAATCTCTGAACACATCTGATCGCTGTCCGGATAGTTGTCGCCAGCGGTTGACAAAGACAATACACCCGATCCGAGAGTAGACATCGACAGTAACAATACCAACAATAGCACTGATACGTTGATTGAGTGGTCCATTATTTTAGGTCCTGAAGACACAACTATTCCTATTATCCCCATTATATGAGAACCGCACTAGAAAAATATGGTTTCTCCAATATTGAACACTAGAATTCTAGGTATAGTTAGAATACAGAATTTACAGAATATACTATATATAGAATTATAATATAATTCCTACATAGAGGGCGTTAAATGTCTTCAATTAACCTTGATAAAAACTATCATTTCAATAATTGAAATTAATCATGATAAACTATTGTTTTTAGATTACATTGTCAAAAAATAACATATTAAATACAGTATGGCTAAATTGTGATGATTAAAAATAATTGCTAATTGAAAAAAATTTGATATTCCCAACAAAAAAAGTTATTATGAAATAAAATATTTTTAATAATTATAAAATTAACCTAGTAGTATAATAATAATTATATTAACATTAAATAAATATAGTTTTTTTTTAAAAATAATTGTCACATAAATCAATAGATTATATTAATAAATTTATAAAATAATAAATTTTTGTAGTGATAATTTAGACGAAAAATAATAATAAATGTAAAAATATAGATATTACAAACATTTGTGTACAAATAATTCATAAATATTTAATAGAATTTATAACAATAATAATCATAATATAGTAATAATCATTTTCATAAATTAATATTTAAAAATAATGTATGGTAATAATAAAAATATATATTTATATATATATAATAATTAACCATATAATATAATCATCATTAATTAAGGTATTATTAAACAATTAATAAAAATATCAATCAATTAATTTAATATAAGTGTTGATTATTTTTTGGGCAGCAATGGAAAAGTGATAAAATGTTTGCCTATTTAAAAAAAACGAGTGCAACAACAACAACAAAAATATCATCAAAAGTATTACTAAAAAATAATTGTTTTTATGAACTCATTTATAAATATATATTTGTCTAAACATTTGGTTATTATGTGGATATAAATCACAATTTTTTATGTATTGAATCCAAGCGTCAGTACATCGAAACAGACTTCACAGACGCGAACAGGTTTTGTTAGATTAAACTTCAGTATTGGCAGGTCTTTGCTGGAACAGCGGCTGCATAGTACACGACCGCAGTGGCGACAGTGATGCTTACGAGTGGTCAGCGTAAACTTGAGGCCACACTCGAGACAGGCATCGGCCACTGTCCAGGCGGGCTCTTGCGGTAGAAAGTCGAGTAGACGGTACAGTAGATTTTTGGTGGCCACGGAATGATTGAATATGTTGACACCTTCGTTGTTACAGGTGCCCAGTATAGCACCCGATTTTATTAGACCACGACATAGATTGCCGTTACCGTTCATATAGGCTTTTGTTTAATTGAAAAAACAATAGATTTTTTAAGTTCAGTGGAAATTAAATCAAACAATTATCAACTAATATCGCACAAACACACACTCACCTAATAGAAGTGGTGTATTGCCGTTGCCATCAATTTTGTTGATGGGATAGTCGGGCATAGATTCGATGAATATGTCGAAAATAGCGGCCGAATTTTCACGACCAAACGTCGCCAACAAGTGTAGCGGATTTTGACCCTTGAAGTTAAGTGTGTCGGCACTGATTCGCGATTCGGCCAACAGTACCTTACAAGTGGACAGATTACCCTTTTGGCAGGCAATGTGCAGAGCATTGTTGCCATTGATGTCGACCATCTCGTACTCGACACCATTTTCTAGAAGTATGGAACAGATAGTATTGTGATCGTGTTCTGCGGCCAAATGAAGGGCTATAAACAGTATAAACAATAATAAATTTTTATTTATTAAAATTACATTTAATTCAGAATTAATTTACCGGTTTGTTTAGCGGAAGTTACGTCGCCAATGTGGGCATCGGCCAGCAATAAGTTTCGGACAATCATATCGTTGCCCGATTCGGCGGCCAAATGGAGTGCCGTTTTCTGTGTATTGTCTTTGACTTTTGAGTTAACTTTGACTTTAATACTGAGCAAAAACAATACGCTTTCGATATCCTTCTTTTCGACGGCAATATGCAAATAGTTTCGGCCCTTTCCGTCATATTTGTCGGCAACGGTCGGCTCTTTCATGAGTATTAGATTCGCCGCCTTATTGTTCTTGTATTTAACGCACAGAGAGAATGCAGTATTTCCTAAATTGTCGCGCAATGACAGATCAATTTGTCGACACTCTAAGAGTAGACTAATTATCTTCTGGTGCTGATTGACGATAGCGATCATCAGTCCAGTCTTGCCCTCGACATCCTGTGCGTTGACATCGGCCATGTGCTCCATCAGCGTATAGACAACCTCTTCGAGACCCCAACCGGATGCCAAATGAAGCTTATAGAGAAAAAAATATTAGTTTACCAGTAAAAATATGTAAATATTGACAATAAAAAATATGTCCCATTTTATAGCTAACCGGTGTCTGTTTGTCCACATCGTCCTGTCCCATACCGTCGGGTCCTGGCCTGCGAATGGCATTTATATCACAGCCACTCCTGATGAAAAAACAGGCGGCTTTCTCATTATTTTCGTCGAGTGCTCTGTGCAATAGTGTCTCGTAGAGGCCATCCTCAGCTCGAGACCAGAAATCAGTGTCGCACTGGTATCTGACCAAAATTGAAGCTATATTTTCATTTTCCAACTGAAGTGCATTCCATAGAAGACAGTTCTTATCTGAGTCGACAACATTGACATCAGAACCTTTGGCGCACAACTCTTCGACAACTGGTTCCAATTGATGTTTTACTGCCAATTGAATACAATGTTCGCCATCAGGTGTCTTGAAATGTATGTCTGAGCCGTGGTTTAACAAAAATAATGAATTCTGTACGTCTCCATCGATGATCGCCAGATGCAATAGTGAATAGCCGTTGGCGTCAACAATGTTAACACTGGCGCCGGCATTGATGAGCAATTGGGCAGTCATGTGCAGACCTGACTGTATGGCCAGCGATAACGGTGTCTGGTCTTTGGAGTTCTTAATGTTGAGATTAGGCATCAATACGGTGGAGCCCAAGTCGCCCTTCATTGCGGAAGACTTGTCAGTGTAATAGTTAAGTATCACTTCAACAATGGATTCGTGTTTGCCAGCAATGGCCAAATGGAGTGGTGTCTGATTGAACACGTGTTGTTCCGATTCGGGCGATGACATGGAGTCGACAAATGTGAGTGGAGACGTCTGAAGATTGCAATTGGCACCTAAAGTATAGTTCAAATGAAAAACAAAAATAAAATTAAAAAAATTATCAACTCTTAAGAATAAAATCAATTCCTAACCTTTTTCAAGAAGTGTTGACACAAGTTGTTTAAGACCTTTGGCAGCGGCTTTGAAAAAAAACAAAATGGTGTCACAAAAAATGATAACTTTTAATTAAATTGTTGTCAATAATACCGATATGTAGGGCTGTTTCGCCCTTACTATTGGTCAAATTGATTTTGGCGCCGTTAGTGGTTAGAAAAAGGCCGGCATTTTCGTTGCCGTTTCGGGCGAATGAGTGCAACAGCGAATCGCTGGTCACCGGATTTATCGAGTCTATCGAACAGCCCTTACGGCACAACTCTTGGGCGAACCAATCGTTGTCATCGAGTTTTTCCAACGAAATGGCAAAACTAGACATATGTTTCTTGTTTCGCAAATCAATTGATAGCTTTGGCTGTTCAAGCATTATGTCGAATACAGCTTTATTTAGCGCCATAACTGATCGATGAAGAGCTACAGGTGCCGGCAAAACCATAATAAGACAGTAATAACAATAATAGACAAATATATTTATATATAATTAATAATTAAATATAAAAGAATATATACGAGAGTTTCCGTTAATGTCTTGTAGGTTAGGATCGGCGTCAGAGTCTAACAAATTGCGAGCAATTCTGGCCATTCCATCGCTGTTGGCTTTGTCGGCGCACAAATGCAACGGAACATTATTCATAATCGAGTCGGCCGTATCTACCGATGCATTGTTTTTGATAAGAAAATGTGCCGAAAAGTGATCATCTCTGTCGATAGCCCAGTGCAACAGTGTCTGTCCATTGGCATCGACAGCATTGACATTGGCTTTGTGTAGGACCAGAGTTTTGGCAATATCTTCTTGTTTTGTCTTTAGTGCCAAATGAAGAGGCAGTTCGCCCGACGGATCTGTTTCGTTCAATTTGATGGCTAACTGTGCGTCAAATTCCATGAGATAGAGAAACAATACGTCTTCGCGTTTGATACGGACGGCTGTATGCAATGGAAACTCGGTTTTTGTTTTAAACATCTGATACAACAGCGGCGCCGACATCGTTACAAAGTCATCGCTGGTAAAGTCGTCCCAATGATTGGACACTAGTTCTGAGCAATGATTTTTTAATGTTTCGGCTCCAATCTCGTCGGCAGTTTGATAAAATTGGACACAATTGGATACATTGACAAACGTCATCAGTGTCTGTTCGCACAGCTCTACCAATTGGTTCAAATCGTATCGTTTTGCTGATCGCATCACATCCAGTATGAACTCTTCGTTTCGGTGCTGAAAATCAATGGTATCCGTATAGACCCATCGGATTACGTGAAAGGCCACCTCTGGGTTTACATGAGTTAAGTCAAGCTCCGAGATGTGATCCAATTGATCCCAGCCATCGCTTCGTGACGACAGTACAAACTTGTGGCCTTTGATGGCATTGCCATTCAATTTGATGGTCAAATCGCTGTACAGTTCGCGATCGAAAAGGTTGGCCACATTGCGGACAAGTCGCGAGACAAACGAATTGTCGTCGACCACACCTTTCGATGCATTCAATAGATTATACTTCTTCTCTAAATCGCAATACTTTTGCTGAAGTTTAACATATTCTTCGCGCAAAAGACTTAAATGTTTGCGCGATTTTTCCAACTCTTCCGTCTCTTTGCTGGTCATTGTTTGAAGAATAAGTCAATGAGATTATCAGTCAGCTAATGGCACAAACAGACAGACAGACAATCAGTAGATCCAGTAAAAAGTCTATTATATATATATGATATGATATGTCTCTTCTTGTGGGGAGTGATTGCAACAACAATGTCAACAACAAGTAAATGATATACTGATGGTCTGAATCACTTATTTCTTCAGTGCAGATGATGTCCTAAACACATGAGAGGTTAGGATAATAACAACAACAACAACAACATCAACAACAATACAAACATAGCATTCAATTATTTATTTGATTTGATATTAACTATAAATTAATTGATAACTACTTTACTTTTATTTAATTGAATTCAATTCAATGTTACTTTACTTATATAATATAAACAGTGATAATCAACCAAAAAATAAAACATAAAAACATACATAACGTTTACAGCAGTCAATCAACAAAATTTTATTTGTCATACTGTACTTACTGTGCATACAAACTATATGATTTTCAAGTACAGTAATACTGATAATTAAATGCAATAAACAATTATACAGTACTAGTAGTATAATACAGTAATGTAATAATTTTTTATAGTAGTGTAAAGTTATTTAAATTAACAATAACTTATTGTAAATTTATTGGGAGTTTATTAAACTATCAAATTTAATAATATGATATTTTGTTGGTATTGTATACTTATATATTGTATTATTATTATATATACAGCATATTTTTAATTGATTTGTTCAATACAAACATTTTTATTTAAAAAAAAACTTATTTCTATTATTTTTTTGTATAATTACAACATTAAAATTAGTTTTATTTTTTTCCCAGCTAACTAACCTAGCTAAATTATACAATTAAACACAAAAATAATAACTAGTAGAATTTTTTTTTGTATCAATATATATAAAAAAAAATTTATTTAGAATATTAATAAATTTCAAGTATAATATAAGCTTTACATTACACAATAAAAAATTTATATTACATACAAAATGTACACTCAATATATACAGTATATATATAGATACTTTATATATTCTATACAAATTGTGCAATAGAGTAAAGTAATTGTATATTTAAAAAAAAAATAATTGTGAAATATTTTCATTTATTTTATTTTTTTTGTGCATTTGCCACTTTTTTCCCCACAGGTATCTTATAAATATAATATATATCTTTTAAATGGTAATGGTAACTTTAGCACACACAGGTATCTAATTATTAATATATTAGCACTGTATTGGTACATTGTAGAGGTACGGTAGGTTGGTTGGTTGGTTGGTTGGACAGACACAATATACAATAGGTATGCAATTGTGTGTGTATAAGCTAGACAAGACAATGACAATAGAATTACAAATTTATATATAAAATATACTAGTAATAACAATTACATATATCATATTTATCTATTATGTCAATGTACATGAAATATATTTTTTTAATAAAAGAAAAATTATTATTTTATTGTGACAATTATTTTTTTAAAAAATTATTTTATAATGATTGTAACTTTCTCTCTCTCTCTCTCTCTCTCTCACACACACACACACACACACATACCATAAATATAGCTAAAAATGTTTATTGTATTGTAATACAGTATTTGAATTTAGAAACACATGGAAGGGTAGATATGAAGCCCCTACAGATTTTTAGGGTATATCATAATCTTTCATCATATACACATATCATCTAACATCAATGTACTACCAAAACTAGAATATTTTATTGCATATAATATATAGACAGGAAAGGGTGGCCATAAAATAGGAATCAGAATATTTATATATAAATAGATGCCTATAAAACAATAGACACAATTCATGATTATTTTCGGAACCCAAGCTATAAATATTAAAAAGAAAAGAAAACTTTATAAAACTTTATAAATATAGTGTATCTATGAAATTGCAAATACCGTAAAACTTGTAAACATCACATGTGTTGTAAATTCTACAACAAAAAAGAAAATAATAATAATAATATAACATTTAAATGTTAATTAACTAAATTTATCATCCAATGACTAACCAGTCTATGGGTCACAATCAAGACACACACACACACACACACACACACACACACAAACTCACACATAATCGCATAACTTTCCAGCTTAGATACCATATGTACGTGTGCTGAATGTGTTATTTATAAAAACGATTTATATATATATATGTGATATTATAGTTATATATATATATAATATTATAATAGAAGGTCATAACAAGGTGCAGACATTTGTCTTGTTTGATAATAATTAAAAAATTTTAAAAAACATATATACAGTATATAATGTAATAATAAAATACCAAATGTTTTTTTTAAATGATATAACTGTGTGACAAACGGATTGGCGCCTCAAAAATATAAATGTATAAAAAACTTGAATACATATTGCATTTGTGTATCTGTATTATAATTTATATATAGTTTATAATTCAAGTATATATATACTGTATATATATAATTAAAATTTTAAATAAGTCAGCAAAAGTATAGACACAGTTGTATTTCTTTTTAAAAATCTTTGTCACCGAAAACTTCAATATATATATATATATATTCAATGTATATAACGAGAATATCATATAAAATACTGTATAATATAATATGACACTCCCGTGACGTATATGTCTTGTTTGTCGCGGGGATAGGGATTGCCTGTCATTGGCTCGTGTCTGACGCCAACAATATTCATATATATTTCAATAATATATATATATATACAAATATACAATATATATATATATATATACAGTATACTGAATATTTCGACTATAATATACAACAACAAAAATGATTGCACAAACATGCGCTAACACGGCTTACACAAACACATACAGTGTATTACACACGCGTATTGCTGTGAAAACACATTTGATGCACTGACTCGTTTGGTTTGATATTTCAATACATGTATGGATAGACTAGGGGTATGACCCCCTCCCTCCCTCCCCATCCCCTTTTTCCCATTGAAAATGTTTGACCACCATTGGCAGCATCGGTACACTATTGGCGATGACATACCAGTGCTTTTGCGAGAGAGTAGGAGAGAGAGAGAGAGAGAGCACAGACCAGCGCACAAGTATTAAATGTTAGGTTCACTGTTATTATTAGTGTGTGCAATGTTGTGAAGCGCAGGCAGTTTTTGTTTCACTACATATACATCCACACACACACACGCATACACATACATACCGTACATACAAAACACACACACACACGCATACATACACATACATACAGTACATACATACACACTCACTCTCAACTACTACTACACACTCACTCCTCACACATCATCCACACATTGAATACCAGACACACCAGTGTTTTATCCGTGGAAAGAGAGTTTGTGTGGAAATAATATCAATTGATTTTTGACTTTTTAATTGTGTAAATCATTATATTGTTAATAATAAAAACTATTCTATAATTATATATTTCTACTATATATATATAAAAAGTCATCAATCAATAAATTTATTGTAATTACAATTGTGTTATATGTATTATAAATATATAATTTATATATGTTGTCTATATTGAATGTATGTATATAACAAAAATTTAAGCATTGATTCTTTAAAAAAAATAATAATAATTATAAAAACCCGGTAACAATAATAATATTGTTATTAATAATTATTATTATAAACGATTCTGTGTTTGTCCACCACATGTGAATAACCGGTGTTGTGATCCCACAAATCCAGCGTTAATTTGATTTGAATTAATTGTAAAAAATTATATACTAATATCAATACTAATGTAATTATATAAATATATTCCGGACGATTCTATACAGTAATAATATATCCTAATAATAGTAATAGTATTATATAGTAGTAGTAGTAGTAGTAGTAGTGAATATTCACATTGATGTAAACAATTTAAAAATAATTTTTATAAAAAATATAATAATAATAATAATATTGTCTACATGCCCATGTTCAAATAGCATTGGCAGTGTGGCACCAGCCTAGTTACGCAATTTTTTTTTGAAGCAGTCATGCTATTAATATAACATAGAATATATATATATAATTTAGTATATAATTTAGTAAAGTATAATAGTATTCATATGTAATTTTTTTGTGTGTGTGTGTATGTATGACTTGACTTGAAAACAACTCTCAAATGTCTCAACTTTAACCAAATAAATAAATAATAAATCGCTACTACTGTATTAGTATTAGTAGTAGTAATAGTTATTATATGTACTGTATTGTGTGTGTGTGTGAGGAACGGTAGGTTTCAAATAGTGTGCCCCCATTGATTACCTCCGGTAGTAGTAGTAGTAGTACTGTAATAATAATAGTTAGTGCATATATGATAAAGTAGTTTGTCTCACATGAAATTTTATGTAATAATATATTTTTTTTGAATTAAACATATTTAGTATTTTATTTTGATAAATGAGTTGAGATTTCTTTTTTTTTACTGTAAATTTGTTGGTTGTCTGATGTAATATATTATTATGATTTTGTAATACAATTATTTTAATGTGTGAATATAAATAATAATAATACAGTAATATTAATAACAATAATGTAATACAATATTTTATTAATTTATGAGATAGATATAGATATATTGTATTATATAATCAATAATTCAATAATTATAAGAATCGTTATTCTATGGGTTTTTATAATTATAAATCAATGCTTATATTATATTATATATTATCACATTTTATATATACAACATATACTTTATATAATATATATATATTTATTTATATATAATATTCTGTTTATATTCTCTTTTATATTCATTTACATCAATAATATCATCTATACATTTGGTTTAAACGATAATTAATTGAACACAAAAACCTATCAATTTAATGGACTAATTTGGATAATAAACAAAATCAATAATAATTATCATGGGATTTAATATTTTTTATTCAACTAATTGAAAATATATAATATAACTCTATATACAATATATACGGTATATTGTGATGATGTGTACTTAATATAGTCAAATAAATACTGATGTTTGAAAACATTAAGTGATACTTTACTTAAACAAAACAAAAAATTAGCAACAAATGTTACAATCGTTACTGAAATTTATTAATATATGATTTATTGATTAAAAAAAATAGTTAAATTTATATAATTAAAATTTAGTATTATTTATTAGTCGCCAAAAATTTTATAATTAAAATTGTCAACCAACATTTGTAAATATATAACATCATCATTTAAATATGGGAACCCGTATAACGGTGGATAAGGTATGTAAACAATTAAATAGATATTAATTATTTAAATTAAAATTGCATGACTGATCCCAATAGGTTAATCTAATATTTATTTATTATTTATAAAATCCATAAAACTCTTAAAATTTTTATCATTTATTAGACTTATCTTTTTATTTATTAAAATTATAAAATATGTTTTTTTAAAACAAAATTTTATATCCAGATGTTTACATTGTGTTTTAAAAAAATAGATATTTATCTGATAATATATTTATATAGATTAAAAAAATTGTTTTATAATTTGTTTTTTTTAAATAAACAAAATTATACTCTACCTAATATGATAATGTAATATTATATTTAGTTTGAATTAATATTATTTATTAAATAAATATTAAATTATCGATAAACTGAAAGGGTAATGATATTTAAAAATAGTCAAAATATAATATTATTTTTATATGATATATACAAACATATGTATAAAACATGTGATACCAAAATTAAATAACATTATCTGTTCGCACATTTGCATTTATATTATTGTTATATACAGTAACTGTATAATGTTATCATTGAAAAAAATATCTCAATTATCATTTCCTAATAATAAAAATACAACATAAAATTTAATATATATTAAAATTTGTTTATAATAATTAACATGGTTTTTTTTATCCTGTTATGGATAGATCAATGATTTATATATAAATATAATCTATTTATAAAAATTACATTGTTTATACAGTATAATATTTATTATAAAAATAGTTATATATGTATAACTTATATTTTATACTATTATATACAATACTATATTAACTCTTTATATATATATTTGTCTACCGGTATATTGTACTGTATATATATGATACTATTGATATAAATATCATTATTTAATAATTTATTTAACAATATTTGATATGAAATTAAACTCATGTCTAGAAATTCGATACATCCGATACAACCATATTATATTGTACTGTATTTATAAATATAATTTTTTTAAAATGTAAATATAAAAAATTTTGGGTTTTTTCCACTCAACAAAAAAATTGATTGATTATAATTGCATTATTTTTATTATTAAATTTTTTTACAAAAATTGTTAAATTATTATCATCTGTTTTTATAATTAATTTCAATTAAAAATTCAGAATAATTGCACCGGAAATGCATAAATATATATATAAGTAATAATATATTTATAGTAAAATTAATTAGTTTTAATGACGGCATTTAAATAAAATTTTTCATTATCTAAATATCTAATTTGCGGTTAAAATTTTTAATATTATTTTACAACAACAACAACAAAAAAATTAATTAAATAAAATAAAAGTTGTAATTTTACATTTCTAATACATTATATATACTGTATATATATATATATATAGTATTTATATAGTTAGTAATTTAAATAATTTTGAAACTAATTGAAAACAACAAAAAAATAACAAAAAAAAACAATAAAAATTATAAACACACATATTTTTCAATTGATAAATTTATATGATAATAACATTTTTGTAAATAATTTTTTTTCCAAAATAGTTTTATTTTTATTTATTTTTTCTTATACTTAAAAAAGCGACGACTCTATTAATAAACGATTAAAATTTAAATCGCGTTTTACGCCAAACTACTACTACTTAATAATTGGCTGTTTTTGTGAATAAATTGAATTTGAAAAATATGCAAATCTTTTTAAAAGTCAAATTTTTTTATATATGAAATGAAAGAGACAGTCAAAAATAGCAATGAAATCATATAAATATATATATATATACAGTATATGTATAACAAAAAACACATTAACTAATTTCATTCGTCAATTAAGGGCCCAAAAAATTACAGATAAGTAGTTAAAGAGATTTTTTTTCTCAAAAAATAAAAATTATTTTTCAATACTATGATATCTTTAATTTAAGTCAAGGCATATAAATCAGGATTAAGAAAAAAATATTTAGTTATTTTATGGCTTGTTAGCAATGGGTGGGTGAGTAAATGAGTAACTAACTAAGTGAGTGAGTGAGTAATTTTCTAACTTAAATTGTTAATGACTATGTTATTTTTTGCTTATTAATAATAATAATAATAAATAGAAAAATTGTGATAGCTTAATATTAATAATATATTTGACACATTTTGAGAAAAAACATGTTTTCACAATTATTATAGTTATTTAACTAATAGTATTTTTTTTAAATATCAATAGTTTTTTAATAGAGAGAGAGAGAGAGAGAGAGAGAAAGAGAGATGAAATTTCATAACAATATTGCTAAAAATTTTTGTTTCTTAATTTCCTAACATATAGTAATGACATATTAATAAAAAAAAATCAAAAATCAATTATTAGTCATAAAATAATTAATATTAATTTTTGTTAAAGTTTGTAATATATTATAGTTATCATAAATAATTTATGTTTAAATATAAATATTTAATATTTCATTTTATATAAATTTACAAACAACCTAGACAATTACCATGCAATTATTTATTTGACTATTATTTATTATTATACATGGAATCACATGAAAATTAATAATTTTTTATTTGAAAGTAAAATTAATTTGTAAACATAATGAATAATCATTATTTAAAATATTAAAAACGATAAAAATATTTATGATAACTTAGTTTTTAAAATCTTGTTAATTTAATATAATATTATTAAAAGAGTAATAAATTAAATAACATTTAAAACCCCAGATATAACAGTATAATTATTATTATTATTAAAGTTTTAAAGTGTTGTGATTTAGTTGAAAATAAAAAAAACTAATTGTTTTATTATCATCTCAATAGACACCACCTGTGTTTAAGGTTGTCTATGTGATATATAGTGTTTTTTAACAATTTTATCTAGTTAATTTTTTAATATTATAATTATTTTTTAAAAATATTAATTGATAAATTGTTAAAATAATGTGCAGTAAATTGGTAAGTACTGTATATATATATATATATATATATATACTTTTATATAAAAATTAACCTGTTTACATGTTTTATACCATATAAAACTTTTTTTTTTTAAATCATTGATAATATTAATAATGATATTTATATATAATATAACAAATTTAATAGTAATAAGTATATATATATTTAATCAATCATTTAATTCAAACAACATTATCAATTATTAAAATTTGTTAAATTATACATTACATTATTATTTTGTTTGTTTTGCTATAATTGACAAGTTATATGCTTAATCGTTAGCGTAAATTTTCATTTAATTTAAAATTACACAATAATTAAGTAATACATAAATACTAGTTAATTATTAGTATTTATAGATAATGGTAATAAAATTGACGCTTAATTTGACAATTATATAATATAAATAGTAATTAGTGCGAAACATTTTTTTAATGAAAAAGATTTAATGAGCTTTTACTTAAAAATTAAATTTGTTATAATTAGAAATCAATATCAATTGCATTCTTTATATACAATATATTTATTATGTATTAAAAAATATATTAATTATTTCACATATATTTTTGACAAATCATTTCATAAGTAATTAAATCAAATTAAATTATTAAAAAATTTTAAATCATATAAAAATTGTCGTAATTTAATCAGTTAATCAAATCTATTGATATAGAAACAGAAACTATAAAAAATACTAAACTAACTTTGGGATCATATTTTTAAACTTATATTTAACTTTTATTGATATTTTTTAAAAACTATATATCACTTTTTGTTTTTATGACATCCACTCCTTTATCAATGGTACAGAAAAAACGATATCTATCGGAGTCGTCACAACCGGTAGACATACCGTCACTTGTGATTAGCGAATCGCCAGATTTCGATGAAAACAAGGAACGGGGCAACTGGTCAAATGGCATGGAGTTCCTACTGTCCTGTCTATCATACGCTGTAGGACTGGGAAACGTTTGGCGATTTCCATATCTAGTCTATAGAAATGGTGGAGGTATGTAATCGGAAAATACAGCACATCCCCTTTAAAAAATGCTTAACAATTATCTAACTGTCCACATTTATCAAACAAAATTACTACCTTCACCACCACCAACAGGTGCATTTTTCATTCCCTATACCGTAATGTTGGTATTTGTCGGAATACCCCTCTTTCTACTTGAGCTCGGTTTTGGCCAGTACGCCAGCGAAGGTCCCATTACCATCTGGAAAGTGTCGCCAATGTTTCAGGGCCTCGGATATGCCATGTTTCTCATGTCAGGCCTGGTGTCCATCTACTACAACATGATCCTGGCCTGGGGTCTGTTCTATCTGGTCAGTTCGTTTACCACAACGCTTCCGTGGAAATCATGCGACAACTTCTGGAACACCGATGGTAAGACCCCATTAACTATTAAAGATAATATATATATATATATTACTTACCGTTCCCTTTGGACGGACAGCCTGTCGTCGATTCGACGCCAAGAACTGTACGTCACATAACGGAACAATGTTGGCCAACAGCACGTGTATCGCCCGCGACTGTTACTTCGCTAACGGAACGAACGTCATCGACCAGCACTGGAATCCGGCAAAGCTCAACACGACTGTCCTCAATGCCACCTGCACCATTGATGACCCCGAATGGACAGTACTGAAGCTCCAGAATACGAAAATGGCCAGCGATGAGTACTTCCAGTGAGTTTCTGTTTAATTAGAGGACATATCTCTTGATTATATTACAGTCCAATATTATAATTAGTTACTAAAAAATATTGTTATTTTTTTAAAATTTTAAACAGCAATTTTGTTTTGGGTATCACTGAAGGCATCCATGACTTAGGAGGGATGCGTCTGGAGCTGGCTCTGTGTCTGTTTGTCTGTTGGCTTATTGTCTTTGTATGTCTGGTCAGAGGTGTCAAAAGTATGGGCAAAGTAAGTATAGGAATCGGACTACCCATCACTTAACCTCTATATGGGTTTATAGTGATTTGGTTTCTTTTAATATTATATTTTAATAATATTTAAATTACTTAATAGGTTGTCTACTTTACGGCACTGTTCCCATACTTTGTTTTGCTAATATTGCTGGTCCGAGGCCTGACACTGCCCGGTGCTGCCGAAGGCATCAGATACTATTTGACACCCGAATGGTATCGGCTCACCGAAGCCCAAGTCTGGGTATAAAAACTATAACTCATTTTTAATCAGTCAGTCATCTAACTGAGCAAAAATTAAAAAAAATGATAATGACTTCCCAAAAATTTATAAAAAAAACAACACAATGTTCCTGGTAATATACATGGAAATAAGCAAAATTTTTAATATATATATATATAAATATATTTAAATTAGATTATTTAGTTATTAAAAAGTCTCCAATTAGTTCACATTAAGCGATTTACGTTTTAATTGCGGTTTTTTTGGGCACACTTGGTGCTAGGTGTGTTTTTTAAAAATTATTAATAAAAATTGTAAGTAATAATAATAATAATAAACCTGTAAGTAATATAAAGCACAGCCTCTAGTCCAGGTATACCCAAACCGTAATCGGGCGTAATTGTCGTCTAATGTCTACTATGGAAATGAGACATTTAGGCTATAATTTTAATCATAATCATAATAATAATAATAAATTTTTATATAAAAAAAAATTAAACACTTAAACAAACAACAACAAAAAAAGATATACTATATTTCGCATAATATTTCAAATTTGTGAAATCAATAGTTATTTAATAGTTTATCAATAGTTATATATAATTATATAATTTTAAAAAAAAAATATCTAATTATTTAGCAATAATAATAATAAATTGCTATAGATTGACAGTGAAAGAGATAGGTTATTAGATTTTAGGCCTAGCAATGAAATATAGTGTATATTTTAAATGCATCCTGGTCCCTATTATTTCGTAATTTTAGTTGCTAATTTTTAAAAAAAAAATAGTTTAACTTATTTATACAATTATCTAAACAATAATCGTTTACTAATAATAATTATGTTTTTTTTCTCTCTTTATTTTCTCTTTTTTTTGTCATTTCATTTACTCCTTTAATTATAAACCCATAAATACTATACTAAAAAAAACAAAACAGGCGGACGCAGCGATGCAGATATTTTTCTCACTGTCCCCCTGTTGGGGTGGTCTGATTACCCTGGCCAGTTACAATCGCTTCCATAACAATTTCTATCGGGACACCTTTTTCATATCGATTGGCAATTGCGGTACCAGTATTTTTGCCGGTTTTGTCATATTCAGTATCATTGGATTTATGGCACACGAAATGGGTGTCGACGTCAATCAAGTGGCCACACAAGGTATGATGAATGAGCTGAGGTTATTGGCACCGATATATATTTAAAAAAAACTTAACATTTTTTTTGTGTGGATAATACAGGTGCTGGCCTGGCGTTTGTAGTCTATCCGGAAGCCGTGTCCCGTTTACCAATATCGCCGCTCTGGTCGTTCCTGTTTTTCTTTATGTTGCTTACATTGGGTTTGGGCACCCAGTTTACCCTAATCGAAACGGTAGTCACCACCATTGTAGATACTTGGCCCGATAAGTTTCGTCACCGCAAACCATTGGTGTTGGCCGCGACCTGTGGCTTTATGTTTCTGGTCGGACTATTGATATGCACCAAGGCTGGCATGTATATACTGCAACTTATGGACAATCACTGTGCCAGGTACTTGGAACAGGGTCGATAGTCTAACTAAATCACACACACACACACACACAACTTAGTAGTTTTAAATTTATTAGTTTTTTTTAAATAAATTTTTATTATCTAACAGTTTTTCGGCTCTAATAATCGGTTTGGTCGAAGTTGTCGTTATTGGATGGGTTTACGGTATCGACCGTTTTCTCGATGACATGAAAGTCATGTTAGGCCACTATCCCTTTCATCGGCTCTATTGGCGTACAATTTGGAAATATATCTGTCCATCACTTATTATTGTATGTGTCATTATTTAATAATAATGATTTGATTGTCTCGTAAACTATTTGTTATCTCCTCTACTGTACAGTTCATACTGATCTTCTCGTTTATTGACCTGAAACCGGCCAGTTATGGTGACTATGTCTATCCGTGGTGGGCATCATTGATCGGATGGGGTCTATCAATCCTATCGGTATCTGCCATACCAATTGTAGCCATCCAGAAGCTATTGAATCTGAAGGGACCCATACTTCATGTAAGTGATTGATCTGACTATAAATAACCCATACATAGTGTACTAAATTACACACACAATCATACATAAAACTGTTTATCACTATATATATCAAATATAATTTATGTTTATTTTTATATAACCAATAATATTGACGACGACTAACAACAACTATAGAGATTAGAAGTTTTGATGAGTCCTACAGCCGATTGGTATGTATATAATGTGTGCCCTAAATACCGGATGACTCCTTCAATTTGTCTATAAATAATCTGATTATAGACAGACAACTAATCTATTATATATTTATTGTCTATTATATAATACTAACATTTTTTTTGGTTGTATTAAGGGGTCCTAAACTACAATTGCATCGCATGGAAACACACAGTCCAAAACATACCGACAGTCAAGTGCCGCTCCGTTACGATCTCGACAACGATAGTAACGACTCGGACGACCTGAAGATCATCGGCAAAGACAACTATATATTGGCCGACGAGCCAAGCGATAGTGATACCGGTTTACGGTTAAAGATTCCTATATATTACAGTGAAACAGGACTTTAGTATCAATAATGTTGTAGTAGTAGTAGTACCGGTGCACCATTAACACCATACACCTACACATACATTTACACACACTTACGTATACATTTACGTATATAACCACACATACACACCCACGCAAACAAGACAACAAAACAAATTGAATACTACTATATATAGACACAAAATAAACATTACAATACCGGTGTTCATACCTAGATCAATTATTATTATTCTTATCATTTTTGTATCGATAAAATCATACGTACATCTATAGTATTATAATATAATTTATATATATATTAATAGTATATAATTTTATTTGTGATGTTTGACTCGTGTAACAGTATTAGTATTATTATTATTTTTTAGGTAATACCCGTAAAATTAATACAGTATAAACAGTAAATATGTGGCTATTATATGTCACATATTAGTTTTAGTTAATTATTGTTATTACTATTATCTAATTAATGTTTTTTTTATATTGAAAATTAGTTCATTTAATTGATTGTTTTTTTTAACAAAAGTTTTTTTTAAAAGTACAGTATAACAAATAGTTATGTAATACCCAGTAAATCCTACTGCATTTGAATGCATTTAACTTTCAGATAGATATACTGTATTTATAAACAGCAACAACAAAACAAGTCATTTACAGATACAAACAATTTTTTTTAAAAATAATCACTATTATATGTAGATATATCTCGTGTAACACATTTTAATGGGGGAGCGGGTTAGGGGTGACTGAATCGGTATGTATTACTGTCGGAACTGTATATGTAGATGAATATTGATTGATTGATTGTTTTATTGTTTGAATTGATTAATATCTATAACATTATATTTGTTGTTATTTATTACAATATTATATAATGTTCATTTGCATAGTAAACATTACTATTGCTAGTTTAACAAAAAAAATTAAACAATATAAAAGGCGAAACTAAAATCTAGTGAGATATATATGTATGTATAGTTAACAAATGGACAGTTAGCTGGTTGGGGAACAGGGATGTATATATACCTTATGTGACAGTAATTTTATTGTGAGATAATTTTAAATAATTTTTTTTCATTGATGACAACCCACTTCCAGAGTCAACGAAAGTATTATTACTATTATATATATAAATAATTTTTACCTTAAATATCAAACAAAATAATTACAATTATATAAAACAGTAATGTTTAGCATTTTTTTGTATTATATTGGAATTGAAAGCCAAAATATTTAGAGATAATGTTTTTTTAAATGTAATTTTGTTGTTGTCTTTTACATTATTATTATTATTATTATTATTGATATATTACCTATTTTTAATAGTATTTAAAAAATTATTATTATTGAAATTTTTAAGTTTTCAAGACCAAACAAATATAAAATATATATTTTATATATATATTTATATTTATATTTAAAGACAAAGATTTTTTTATAGATTTTATGAACGAGTTTTTTTTAAGGCAAATGTTTGCATTGAATTTAATGAATTGGTTATTATTATTATTATTATTATTGTTTTGTTTGTATTTTGATAATTGATTTTATATTGTTTGTTGTTTTTTTTAATTAAATTATAATATTGAAAATGCAATGAATGGATATGACTGTGAAAATTGATGGCAATTTAATTGTGATTTTTAATTGTTGACAATTTATAGCTCATGTATTACTAAACTGAGCTATAGTTAGATTAGAGATAATGAAAGAGAAAGAGAGGGAAAGCTAAATATGAATCCAATCAGTCTATTACACCATAATTATATTTTTTGACATTATTTGAGGCATAACTATCAAAATTATATTACATATATATATATATAGAAATGTGATTTTTAAAATGATAAAATATTATATTTATGTACAATAATTGACATAATAGTAGCTACCGGTGCCTATCGCACATACATGAATCCATTAAATTTACATAGTTTGTTATGTTAGGATATGTTAATTTAATTTAGGGATTTTAAATTTAATTTTAATAGAATTAATCCAATTATAAATCAGTTTATTTAAGTTAGATTTATTTCTAAAATTAATTTAAAATTAATTTTTTTTTCATTTAAAATTTATATTAATTCAAAATCATTCATATAATATAATGCCTTTTTATCAATATTACTAATAATACCTTTTCTAGCTTATGTATATATATATATATTTATGGTATTTAATTGAAAAATAATTTTTGTAAAACATTTAAACATTTATAACCAAATTTATTTTTGAACAATAGTGGCCATTATATGGCCATAATTCAGGGTACATAACATTTATGCGATTTATTAGTAGTATTATAATTATAATATGAGACAGAAAAAGATAGTATATGCCAATGGATGTGCTAAAATAATTGGGTGCAAACACATAATTAGTCTCAAAAAAACAAACAAACCAACTTTCCCATCAATTTGATAAATTATATAATAGTCAAAAAAAACTAAAAATAACCAGCGATTGGATAGTGAAAAGCAGTGATAGGTTTTATTATAACAATTGTTTGTTTGTTATATTAATTCATGAGTGAAAAAAATGTTTAGTTAACACACATATAAAGTTTATGTACTGTATATGTGGTTAACAACAGTTGAGATATGTTTTGTTAATTTGCTCAGAGATTACAAATTTAATTAATTAAAAAAAGTTTTTTTGTGGTGTTTTTTTTAAATTTAATGAATTTTATTATTATAAATATAACCTAATTATAAATAATACGACAATTTTTTTCTCACAAAAATTTCAAAATGATATTTGTGCCTCAAAGTTAATTTAATTATATATATATATATATAAGTATATATTATATATATTAATATTTATTTTATAGCTGTAAAAAACATTGAATTTTACGATTTGTATATCAAAATTATTTACATACATTGTATTTTCCTTGCAGTTAAATATTAATAATAATGTAAAATATTATCAAGGATAATTTTTTTTTTATAACAAAAATCATTTAAGTCACACTATTGGCTTTAATTCCATAAATTAGTATTATTTAGTATTATTAATACCATAGAGTTTATGTTTAGTAAACTAAGTCATATATAAATATTATATAAATATATATATACCGTATAAATACTGTATAAATCAAATATATAATTTACTACTACTATATAGAAACAACACTAATGTTGTACATATGTTTTTTTTAATTTGAAAACAATAATAATAATTAATTAATTATCATAATTAATTTTTTTAGACCAATTATAAATGAATAAATATACTTTATTACCCATTAAAAAATACATATTAGAAAATCTGTGCAAGTTTATATTTAGGACATAAAAAACAAAATGTTTTAATTTTATCAATTAATGAAACAACAAAACAAAAAAAAACACTTACCGTAAATGTCAAACATTGTTAACTTGAAATATAAATTATATATAAATCTTATTATTATAAGTGATATGAAAATTGTTCCACACCTATGATATATATATATATATATATATATATATATATATATATATATATATATATATTAATATGATATATACTATATTTATATACAGTAAATATGATGTTTGTTTAATTATATAATTTTTGTTAGTTTTTAAAAATTTAAAAAAAAAACTTAGTGAAAGGTATCTACAGTTTAATTAAATGTTTTATAAATCATGTTTTAAAACTATAGCTTATAACTTATAATATAACACTATAGCAATTAGTTGTCACATAAATACAGCAAAAAAATAATACAAAGTTAGTTAATAAAAATTGATTCAAGCTATTTCAATTATTTAGCTCATGTAAAGTAATATTTAATTGTCAAGTTAGTATTGTCAAGTAATTAATAGTAAACTTATTTAGTTTATATTGACACTAGTTGTTTAAAAAAACATTTTAGATAGATTAGACAAAAAAATGATTATAAATTTTTCAACTAATATTTTAATTTTATACTAAAATAGTTTCAGTGTTATTTATATGTTAGTGTTTTTTTTTCTCAATACACTTTTATGACATTATATAAAGTTTAAAATGATAATTTATCAAATGTTGATTATATTTTTTATTTTAAATCTGTTACTTAAAAGAAAAATACATAATTTTATTTTTTGTGTGTTTAGCACTTTATCATTAGCACTGGGATGCAGGAGAAGACTGGATGTATTGATTTTTGTTAAGTTTATGAGAAAGTTATTTGAAAAGTTTTGTTGGATAATAGTGAAAGAGAGAGAGAGAGAGAGAGAGAGAGAGATTGGGGAACAGTTAGGTTTGGGAATAAATAGGAGGTTTCCCATCAAAACATTCAATTTTTAAAAAATTATCATAAGATAGCTATAATATCATTGTTGTTGTTGTTGTTAAAGTACGTGCGATGCACGCGCGCGTGCGATCAGACCAGTCTAGACCTAAATTATTTAATTGCTCACGTGTTTAATCCGATTTTGTCATAAAATATAATATTAATAATATTATTTTATCCAAACTTTTTAATTTGTATTATAATTTTATTTTTCGATTTAATATATATATCTATAAATTCCTTATAAATATTTTAAATTGCAATAAATTGCAAATAGAAAAATACAGTATTAAAAAAAATCTACATATACTGTAAGTCAAAATTTTATTATTAATAATAATATAAAAAAGAGGAAATTATTTTTGCATACATTTGGAGACAACAAAAAAAACTTGAAACAAGTTTTATTGTAAACATAAAATGTTTTTTTTATTAGTATACATACATATTATATCTTTTTTTTTAAAAAATAAATTATTTAATTGTGAAAATTAAATACCAATTGAGAGAGTAATACCAAAAATGTGTTAATCTCTCTAATTGACAAACATGATATTTATATATATAATAACAACCAATTTGTAATAACACAACAATAAAATAAAAGTATTACAATTATTAATTAATGAATAAAATTTTAAAAATTGACTGTAAAAATTTTATGACATGTTTAATAATTTGTTTATATTTTATACAACATATTGAAAAAAATATATATAAATCCAAATTACTGTACGCTATTATTATCATTATATATTATACAATATTTATTATTTATATAAATATTTCTATTAAAAAAAATTGTAAATCAATTTATAAAAAATTGATGTTAAATCTGATTTCTGAAATTACAAGCCAAACACACTGTTGAACAAACATTTTTTTTACAGTATATACATATAATTTATATATAATATAAGATTTTTTTTATTTCGTATAAATATTATATATTGTCAATCAATTTAAACATTATATGAGAGTAACCCAAACAAACAAACAAACAAAATCTAAAACAACCTAAACAAACAAACAAATAAATTTTTGACTTGCTACAATTTTTTTTTTGAAAAAAATAATGTATTACTAATTAAAATAACAATAAATCAGTGTAATCAATAATTGTATTAAACAAACAAATTAAATTTTCAAAAAAAAATTAATTAAATAAAAAGTTAATAAAGTCATGTTTGACCCCTTGGTAATTGAGTTTATAATATCATTTATTTTCAACATAAAATTTTTTTATTATTATTTATTACTAATTTTTCTGTGTTTCTGTGTAAGTAAAATGAATTTAGTAATTTAAAATAATTAAATTTATTTTTAAAAAATAATATCTCAACTTTAGATAAATAAAAAAAATTATTATTATTCTAATAGACACAATATTATTGATAGATTTCTGTTATATTTTATAAATATATATATATATACAGTATATATAAATTCATATATCTCTAAATATTTTTAACAAATTAATTATTTATTAATTACTAAAAAAAAATTTTGACACAATTCAACTATAATACTAGAAAACTATTAAACTACAAATATATATATATTAAAATATATAAAATATGCATTTAATTAGTTTGCATGTGACTGATGTTAACGTAGAACACAACATAAATTATAAATAATAAAATAGTTTAATAATAGTTTAATAATAAACAATAACTAAATAATTTGCTGAATAATTTTTAGTAATACTATTATTATTATAATAGTTTTATTATACAGTATTAATAATTTTCAATGTTTCAATAATACTACAATCATATGATAATTAAATATTCTATCATAATATTAATTGTAATATAAAATTTTCAACAAAAAAAACTCAATATTTTTATATTATTAACTTTTACTCTACAAAATATATTGATATAAAAATTTTTAGTTATTGATCCCACATAACAATGTTATTCATCTACTAATTTTCTAACAATATATAATCATATTATATTTATAATATATCAATAAATATTGTTTTGCAATTAACTTAATTAATCAGCATTTTTTAGTACATTATATATCCATATCTATACACAAATATCTTTTAGTATAATATATTATATTATTTTATTTTATATAATCTCTAATTAAAACATTTATATATATTTGCAACTCATTATTAATTAATTGTTTTAATGACATTGAGCTAACACATTAATAATAATAATATTTTTCAATACAAAATATAAGAAATAACACATCAATTTTATTTATTTTTATTTAATTCAATTAATAATAATAATAATCAAATGAGAATTCAACGTATATTTAAATATAAATATATGCGTATTATATATAATATGTAAAATATTAATAATAATTATATATATATATATATTTATTAATTACACAATTAAAATATTATAACTAAAATAAACCAATAATATATATTTATATATATATGTTTGTTTTAAATAAATATATAATGCAATAAAAACATTTAATAAAATGTCTATGTTAACATTATCAAAGTGAACAGGGAATTTTTTTAAATGAGAAAAATTATCAGAATGTTTTTTATAAAAAAAAATTAATATAATTGGAAATTTTAAAGTTAAATACTAATAATAACAATTTATATGTATAATAAATTTTTATATATAATTATATTTATATGAAATATATATATGAATATTAATTTTAATATGTTTCTTAAATATCTTTTATATAATAAAATTATATAATATAACTTTATTTCAGTTTGTTTATTATATAACAAAACTAAAATATATATAATATATGCATTTAATTAATTATATAATAATAATAATAATATATAATTCAAATTTTTAATAACAATTCCTAATTTAAATTCAATTTTATTTGCAAAAAATAAGTCCTATTTATGAGGTATTTGTTGATAACAATTATTAATATTATTTAAACTAACATCTCTAGCATTGAACTTAATGCTAGTATTATGATTGCTATTCATAATTGTATTATTATTATTATTACTGTTACTACTATTGAGAACACCGTTGGCCACAATAGGCTGAGTTTTGGCCATCGGTTGTGTAGTAAGAGTAGAAGTACTGTCGTTGTTGTTAGACTTGACTACCGGTGCCGTCGCCGCCGTAGTGTTTGTCTTATTTCTATGATTGTTGCTATTGTGCTGATTCTTGCGCGTAAATGTTAGTGACTCGGGCCGAAACTCCGGGTGCCGTTTGGCGTGTTTGGTCAGATGGTCGGACCGCATAAATCGTTTGTCGCAAAACGGACAGACAAAGTTTTTCTCGCCCGTATGGGTCCGATAGTGTCGGGCTAGTTCATCGCTGCGGGCGAACCGTTTGGCACACGAATGCCAGGTGCATGCAAATGGTCGTTCACCTAATAATAAATAATAAGTGGGAGACAAACCATTAGAAATAAAATAATAATTATTATTTATTTATTAATGATATGTATATCTATTGTGATTAATTAGTAATAATTTTCATAATAATAATAGCATTAATAATACTATAATAACAATAATGATAGTGTGTTTCGCTATACGGTTCATAGCATCTCAATAGTAACTCCTAACTTTCCCTTAAAAAACATACACCACACCCCACCCCCGCATAACTAAAAAAACACAGTCAAAAAACCAGCACTACTACTACTACTACTCTTCCTTATTTGAAATGCCATATATTATAATATTTATGGGGTTATACTATTCAATACATTTATAATACAATATAGACAGTGTGTACACAATATATGATGACTGTTTTGATCAGTACATATGCCATACCCTCTCCACAAATGTATTTTTAGCCCAAAAACACTGTCTCTCTCTCTCTCTCTCTCTCTCTCTCTTCTCTACAGTATATATATTGTTTGGTTTTCATATTACACTGGATGTCGACGACAACAACAAAAATAGTATTATTTTCTAAATTCTGTGAACATATTACTGATCTACAGATTAGATCGGATAATATATCGTGTATTTTGTATTAATATGTTTTGATTTTGTTGTTGTTTTAAATAAAATAACACAAATGTATTGCATATGTCGTGAGCAGACATATAAAACAAATTTTGTTTTTATCTCTCAGTTTTATATATTATTATTAAACAACAACTTATATAATACCGTATTATAACAAAATTATATATAAAATAAAAATATTTTAATTACTTTTGCTTTCTTTTTATTGTAATTTATTTTTAAATTTCGGGTTTCATTTTCATTTTTATTGTTTAATTAGTTTTTTTTTATAAATTTTCAGACGTAAGGATATACATGTATTATATAAGTATAATGGCATAGTCTATGCAACAATAAATATATATGTGATATCAGATTTTGCATACAGTTTATAAAGTATTAGCATTTAGTTTGTATAAACATTACATTTTCCACCAAAAAAAAGTTTATCGGAATATTCCTTCAAAACAGTTATACAGTATGTATGTGTTGGGAGTGTTTACAACATTTAAATTCAATATCAATTAAAATTTGTCATTAAATACATTAGTGTCGCTATTTTGATAAGCATAGGAGAAAAAATGCATACAGACAACCCAAAAAAATACTAAAAAATTGTATGATTTTATCAACTTTAAATGAATATACGTACATAATAGTCCATTAGTTTAGTTTAGTGAAACTATACAGTAATACAACACAAATATATATATACAATATATTCATAACAACAAACAACTACTAAAAATAAGTGTCTTTGACATTATCAGTGAATTTTTCAAAGAATTTCATGAATATAATACATATACTGTATATTATTATACAGTATAATAAAGTTTGTCATTGAGTTTTGAATCTAATAKTCAAACAGCAAATTCTCCGACTATTATTAGACCAACCTTACATTGACACACACATAGACATACACACACACACACACACACACACACACACCCCAACCCAAAAAAAACCCTATACTAATACTGTACTGTATAATAATATTTTAAAAACAACACACAAAGTTGACAAAACATTTTGATAAATTTTTAAAATCATCATCTCATAGCTAAATGCCTATTATTAATAGTGAGAGAGTAGTATTTAAAACAGACACATAAACATAATGAAAGACACACTGGGAATGAGTGCCAAAAAAATAATATATTAAAAAAATTATTTTGTTTAATTATATTGCACTCTATATCAATGATAAGTTATTTTCTTATATGTCTCCAAACAGTAAACGGCAATGTATTTATTATTATTATTWTTTTTAATAAACTGTATGTGAATTTTGACAAACAAATTGCTGGAAAAAATTGTCTAATTTTATTATTTATTATATCATAAATTTTGTTTTCATGCATTGCAAGTYGCATAATATATATACATGCATATTATTACACTGTTAAATRACTTATTATACATATACAATATATACAGTATATTTATTATATTTATATTTTTCCAAATAAAAAATAYKTTTTTTTTGATTGATGATATAAACAGTTTAATTTAGTAAATATAATATAAATGCTGGAAATACTTGTGGAGTTTATTTATACAAATATATCGTATAAATATATATATATATAAAGATTATATAAATATATCATATTATTTATCTGTATTATTATTATTATTATATAAGGTGGCAAAGTGATTGCCCTTATAAAATAGGGGACTTTATATGRACCACACCCCCTACCCATTAACACCCTTACTTTATTATATTAATTAATAAACTATATATTTATGTGTAATTTCAATTTATGTAATTTATTATATGTATAATATATAATATAAAAAAAGTTAAATATCTAAAAATAAATAATTATAATAATAATTATAATTAATTGTCTCGAAAATATACTGTACTTAATACTGTATTATTAATAACAAATAATTTTAAGTTTATATTTAACTAATGATAATATACTATACAAATATCAATAATATTTAATGATTTCCGATAACTCGAGAGATAGTACAATAAAATTATATATTATATACGACAATATAAATTTATAAATATATATTAAATGAACTAAATTAATGTTTTTTAATATTATAATAACATCTACTGTAAAGTAAACCAATTTTTCCTATTTTCTTAATAATAATAATATCATTATTATCATTATTGTTGATATTAATTAGCATTTAAATCGCTTTCGGGGTTAAAATCTATAGATAAGTGTGTGTTTGTGCGGCAAAACTGCATATATAAACACACAAAAAAACAAAACTTAAATAAATTTTCTTTGCTATTAATTTTGTTGAGCGATATATTTCGTTATCATTTAGTATAACTGATAGCTATTTGCAAATAATAAAAAAACTAAAAAATAAAATTGAAACCAAATAAAAATATATCTTAAATATAAATTCACTTTTTTWAAAAAATAAAAATAATTATCGATAGGAAGTGTGTTTTTAATAGTATATATTATACTTTTAAAAAATAAAAAATAGTATATAATTTTCAATGCTCTAAGCGATTGATTGATTTTGTTGTTGAGCTGTTTATTTGTTTGTTATTTTATTTATAACTCAAAATGTTATTATTATTATTATTTATTTATTTATAAATAATTTCATTTATTTTCGTATATATATATATATATATATAAAATTACAAAACAAAAAAGAAAACATTTTAATAATTGGCTAATAATTTGAGCACTAGTTTTAGCATTTAATTGACTTGTAGTGGTATATAAAAAACCCATTAAAAAAATTATTATAAAATAGGATTATTTTATTTTATTTTTATTTTATATAATAATAATAATAATAAATACTAAAAATATTATTAAATTGCTTATAAACTTATTAATAATAAATTTCCTAAAAGTTATTGCTTGTTATTCACAAAAAAAAACATAAATAAAAATTAAATAGATTGTTGTTAAATAAATTTGTTTAAATAATTATAAAACTAATGATTTTATAAAAAAACAAAACAAAATCATATTATCCGCAAACTTAATTCACGTTTGCATAATTAGTTATGTAAAAAAAATTATAAATAAAATATAAAAATTTAATAAATAATAAAATGCCAATAATATTAATAATATTAAAATACCAGTTATTTTGGTAACTAATAATCAATAGTAGAAAAAAATTAATAACAAATCACGAAATTTAATTTACTCAACAAATTATTTTATTAGAAATAATTGAATTTTTTTTCGCCAAACATTAATTAAATCGCATTATAAATTTTATTTACCATTTTTTTCTTTGAGAGAGAGAGATAAGAAAAAATCATTCAAAAAATATATTACTTGACATAATTAACTATTACTTGAAATATACCCCAAAAAAATTATATTTGGCAAATAAAATACTGTGTCTAATTAACTGGAAAATATTTCTATAAAAATTTCATATAAAATTTTATTTTTAATTAGTAGTAAATATTTTAGCAAAAAACCACTAATCTTTTTTTTATTATACTGGTATTTATAAAAAAAATCTATTTAAATTACAAATAAATGTATAAATTTTAAATATTTAATGTACATCAGTAAAGCTATATTTATTATTAATAATAATAAAATAAAATTATTTAACCAATAAAATTAATTAAATAATTACGTAAACATACTGACACACACTCACACACGCCACTAGTAATTAAAATTAAATAACAAAAATCTATATATTAAATACAGATAAATATATTTATTAAATTTCAATATAACAGTTCAAATTGATACTAAAGGCTATTATTTGCATAATAAGCATACATTAGCAGAAATTAAATCTAATATAATATTTTTTTTAAAATTATTTCAATATATTTAAGATAGCTATTAAGCTAAATATTTATAGCTGATGTATGTTAATTTTAAATATTAAAAAATACTGTATATATATATAAAAAACAGTTATAAATATTGTCAATATTATAAATACAGTATTATATTGGACTCAACAACAAAAAATTGTTGCTAACCTTATACTTTAAAAAATACAATTTATGTATTTAAGTAAAAAAATTGCTGTTTATGTATACAACTTACATATATACTGTATATATGTGTATATAAATTAAAGTTAAGTAAAAGAGTGGAGGTTATAGTATGTATAACTAGTTTAACTGTCAAAAATACAAATACCCATTTTTTATATTTATTTATTATTGAACAAAAAAATAATAATACAGTAAATTATCATTGATCTATCAAAAAAAAAAAAAAAATAACAGTATTAATAATTACTGTTATTGTTGCAATAATTGCTATTATAATAACCCTTTGAGGCAATCAAATACATAATTAATTGATTTTTTTTTGTCTCTGTATGTGTATTTGTTGTGTTGTACTCACCAAAAAAATAATAAAATTATTTTTAATTAACAAATTTAAAATGTCACTCCCCTTTTCCCCTCATATTC